AAACAGAAAATCCCCAAACAGCGCAATTTAGAACAACACTGCATTCCATCCATAACACAACTCGGCTTTGGCTTGGGCCCACTGGGAGAAAAGGAACCGAAAGCTGTCACCAGTCTATTTTAAAAATTGAAAAGTGGGTTCAAGGCATCGTAAACAATACGGAAAAACTATGATACGTTATGAACGCACATTAATTTGCTCCAGAGAGCATCTTCACTGCAGGCACCGAGAAAACAACCACTGCGCCATAGATAAGCGTATAGATCTACTGTACAAAATGTGTAAAGAGATCTGTGTCATTAATTTAACGAAGGATACTGTAATGTGAATTTCATCACAAGCCTGACGAATTTGGCTCTCGAACGAAAATGCAAAAATGTGGATTACTAATCTTCCAACAACAATGTCCTTTGGTAAGTAGATATCCATATTAATTGTCTTTATTCTGAGCAAGTTTTAGTGAATTTATTCCCGCACTTTGGTAGTTACATAACTTTTAAGTCGGTGCATATTACCTTAATTCCCTCATGTAAGACGGCTGTATTTGATCACATGCAGTTAAAAAACTATACTAGATATCTTCGTAGCGTTTTCACAAACTTTACATTGAAAGAAGAAACTCAAAGATGGAACACTATGTGTATTTGATAATCATGCTTTAATTCGTGAGCGTTGAAACAGAACTGTGTAAAATTGCTGTGGTATGTAACTCCGCGCGTGGAGTGAGCGCAGGTAGACTGACCGGTAGCTGACCCCGGTCACGCTGACCTAGCAGCGCACGGCCTGGCGAAACTAAACGACCGCTGATTCGGCGCTGTGAGAGAGGTATCACCAGATTGCTGTTTGCATTGCCTATGTTTATTATTACACTCATCAATAGACCTACACACTGTATAGTGAAGCAATGATATTGAATTTACATCTGTTGCGTGACCTTCGGTTTGGTCGTGACCTAGGCCTTACTTTTTGTCTCCAGTAAGCTAGCTCACAATGATCTCAATCACGAGCATTTGACAGCTGGTGTATTTGATGCACTGGCATCGGGCCTTTTCACTTCTATAGCCTAGCCCAAGCCGAGTATAGTGTGCTTTTACTGATTACTCTTTTGTCTGTTGACCTGTGACTATTTGGCAGATTTAGCATGCCGACAAGGCTGAACAGAAGAAAACACGATGTGTACAGCCCGCAAAAGGGGCTCAACTTGCAGTTAGTTACAGTTACTAAAAAAAGGTAGATGAGAAAGACTTGAAAAGGGAAATTTGCAGCAATCATGGTATTCCAAACCAAATGCTTATCTGACAGTCATCGCTATTTCATTTGAGCAATCTCTAACTCTAAACTGAAAAACATGGCTACACCTAAGAAAATCTAGAGGCCCCATAGATTTTGGTTTAAGTGGACTCCTCTGTTTGTCTCTTCTTTGATGCTTTTTTTCTTGAATTCTGTCCTACCATCAAAATGTCTTTCACTTTCACATACTCATGAGTGTCATAGGGTTGGATTCTGTCATGCTGTCCCCATAGAATTATGTGAATTTAGATGGCCAAATTATGCACAAAAAAAGCCAAATTATGCAAAAATTATGCAAGTTACCGTAACACCTTTCGCGACATGTTTTGCACTTTTTCAACACAAATTTTCATGACTT